GGAAGAAGGGGGAGGAAGAAGGAGGAAGAAGAAGAAAGAAAAAAACAAAAAAACATTCCCCCAAAAAAAAAAAAAGCAGAAAGTTGCAGTCGGAGGAAGAAGAAGAAGAAGAAAAAAGAAAAAAAAAAGAAAAAAAACGTGGATGACACGTGACGCCCACTCAGTGCACCACGTCACAGTTAACGAAAAACTTAACAGTTTAACTAACGGATGTATGAGACTGTCCCAAAATTTACACTTTAGGTATGACTCTGAGACGAAAAAAACATGATGTACTAAATGTTGAAAACCACGAAACATGAGGGTAGTAAACAGTCTTTTACCCAAAAATCTATCTCCTCATCGTCCCTTCAGTTGAATTGAGAGATATCGGATCAGATTATCTTGAAAAATACGCCGTCAATTGTGAAGAATATGAATTTGATAATTAAACCAACTTTGATTGGAAATGACTCAGATTCATGCAGCCACTATGGTAACATCTGGCGTTTTCATGATAGCAAGGTGCTCCCCTTTATTTGAATACCCACCTACGGCTTTGATTTTATTCTCAAAATTTCGTTCTCATGCTCCATTTTCAAACATGGAAAAAAACCTGAAACAAAAAAGACAAGAAGAGTGAGAGAATCCACTTTGGCTCGTTTCTAATCACGCTAGTGCTCCTTTTCTTCCCTACCCTTTATTTTGTCTCCTTGGACTTCTCTCTACCTCTCTGTCACTTCTTTCTTCCTCTATCTATAACACCACCATTTCATTTCTGTTTGTTTAAACATTTAATTTCAGTTTTTTTGCAAGTACAAGCAGAGGAGGAAGAGATATGTTATAGCATATATATTAAAGGTTATTTTATAAATAATAGTGGGTTTGAAAATAACATTTTAATTTTTTCATCTTTTTGAGGTCGGTGAGATTATAATGTGGGTGGAAAGATAAAACATTAGGGCGAGTCTAGTAACACTCCATGAAATATTGATGCCAAAGGTCAAGTCAATATATTTCAATTGGCATCGTGAAAATTTTAATTTTGCTCGTCACTTATTTTCTTAGCTTGTAATTTATTTGTATATGTATATTTATTTTGTAGTACGATTGAGACAAATGATAAACGACTTGGGAAAAGCAGAATTCACGTTTAACCATAATAAAGATGGTGAAAACGCGTCAAATCCTGAATCCATAGTTTTCATTCTTCATTCATTCTTGAATTGTCTCTTCTTTGCAAGCTGTGACGATTCCAAAGCTAAAAGAAAAGAAGACTTGGAACAAATTTATCCCTTTTAATAGTGTATCATTTTATTCTTTTCAATAATTTTCCTTGAGAAACTTTGGAACAAATTATTAATCAAGATACAAAGAAAAGAAGACAAATAATTCAACCAAGATCAAAGACATTAACATTGAGAGCGTGTGGTGGAATTGGAGCCGGTCTTCCCACGCTTTTGTTGACAAGAACCTTAATGTTAAACAACAATGCTTCAGGCAATGTAAAACATGAGGTTACCGAGTGCACAAAAAACGAGTTTCAAAGGCTTGCTGGACACGTTAATCTCACCTCAACAACAACAATGATAAATGAGCAGAAACGGATTAAAAAGAAGGGGGTTTTGAACTTTAATCTTTGGAGAAGATTACACTTCAATAAATATTTAGTGTTAGATTGGATATTGATTTTAGTCCTTTAATGTGTACTTAATTCAAATTTATATTATATTTTTGTTTTAATATTTAATAGATATCTTATTTAATGTCATTACATTAAAATTTAAATTGATTGTTATACACATTTTAATTCATTAATTTTATTTCCTCTAATTAGGGTACCTAAACGTCTGTATTATAATATATTTTACTAAATTAGGGTACCGAAATGTCTGTACCTAAATATATTGTAGTGAATTAGTGGCACATAAGAAAATATGCAAAAACATAAGTGTACCAAAAAATTCCATACCTAAATATATGATATTAAACTAGTGTACTGAAATGTCGGTACCTAAATATATTATACTAAACTAGTGTACCAAAATGTCCGTACCTAAACTAGTGTTTGAAGTGAATGACATTATTGGATATTCTATTTTTAAAATTTAGGAAAACTAATGAAAAGGGCTTGAAAACTTTGAGTTTTAATGATAAGGACAAAATAAAGGGTAAAGTGAATAGTATCAGGATTGACTTTTTAGTGTAAAAATATGGTTTTTCGTTAAAGTGAACAGTACCGGGTGCTTTTCGTTAAAGTTCCCTTTTAAAATCTTATTCATTTATTCCGTATCATTCAATTCAACGTACTATTAAATAATTTTCTTATTTTGTGGTGTTCTCTTTTATAATTTGGCTTTTCAATCTCATGACTTGAAAATCCCACACCCAAACATAGCGTGTCATAGATTGTCCGTGACATTTGTCGGTTTTTCATTAACAATTTTTCACATTTAGTACTACGAACTAATAATATTCATTTTCATTTATAAGTAGAAGGTGTTAAATTTAAATCTCGTAAAATTGTGAGTTTGATACAATATTTACTCTTATAGTGTAAATATATATCGTTGTATAAAAATAAAAAACAATTTCTAACCAAAAAGATAAGTCAGTCTAGTGAAAAATAGAGCAAGAATATCAAAAATATTACTCTTATCATCTATTATTTGGTGTGGAACACACTTTTTCCCTTCAATTGGTTTGAAATTCCCAGCAAGATTTTTAATGAAGCCATATGCATCCTATGGTTGTACGTATTATCTTCATTAATGCATATCCTACATTTTCATCCACAGCCACCCACGCCCTCAGCCAACACGGACCACACAACCCAACCCAACCAACCCACCCACCCAACAAAAACAAAAAATAAAAAATAAAAATAAAAATAATTCCTGACCATTTTGAACCCCATTTGCAGCTTCTTCTAAATCAAAATCCTGAATCCACAGTTTTTCTTTTTCATTCTTCAATTGTATTTAGGTTGATTTAGTTCAATTAAAATGGAGGGTGATGGAATCAGATGCTTCAACAAACTCTTTCATGCTTTAATTGTGGTGGTAATTTTACTACCATGTGTTGTCAACCATTCCCCTTCTCTTGGATTCAACAATATTTCTTCAGGAGGAGTGATGAGGTGCATTGAGAGGGAAAGAGAAGCACTCCTTGCTTTCAAACAGGCCTCGTGGATGACAACAACTTCCTCTCTTCGTGGGGAATAGAAGAACACAAACAAGATTGTTGCAAATGGGTAGGCGTCCACTGCAGCAACCGTACCAACCATGTTATTCAACTTGATCTTGGATTGGAACGTTACCATCGAAGTCGCTCATTTGATCAGAAAGGACACCCACACGATATCCGATATCATTTGCAAGGTAAGATGATGAATCCTAAACTCATTGAGTTGCAGCATTTGAAATATTTGGACCTTTCGTGGATAAACTTCAATGGGATCCGACTTCCAGATTTCATTGGTTCCCTTTCCAGTTTAAGATACCTCGATCTCTTTAGTGCTTCTTTTGGTGGTCAATTTCCAAGTCAAGTTGGAAACCTTACCCACTTGCAACATCTTGATCTCAGCTTCAATCACTTTGCTAATGTAGTAAATCTCAATTCATGGCTACCTCATCTTTCTTCTTTAACATATTTGGATCTGAGTTACAACAATCTTAGTAATGTTCCTGACTGGTTGGAAATAGTTAGTAAGCTCCCCAAACTTACAAACTTGACACTGTTAAATTGCAGTCTTCCTTCTCCTGCAATTCATTCCAGTACTCTTTTTAACATAAATTCGTCTAGATCTCTTGCTCATGTTGACCTTAGTTCCAACGAACTCACTTCTTCCATATTTCGTTGGTTGTCCAAATACAATGCCAGTCTTGGTCATCTTGACATGTCTTTCAACCAATTAACTGGCTTATTTCCCGATGTCATTGGAAACATGAGCTCTCTTACATATCTAGATCTCTCTTTTAACCAATTTGAAGGGGTGATTTCAGAAAGTCATTTCTCGGGTCTCTCCAGATTAAGATGTTTTGGTTTGTCCTCGGCCTCACTAACTTTAAACTTCCATTCTAAATGGGTTCCCCCTTTCCAATTGGATTTCATATTCTTGGGGTCTTGCAAGATGGGCCCACATTTTCCAAATTGGCTTCAAACTCAAAGAAGTTATTCAGTCCTTGATATTTCTAATGCAGGAATATCTGATACCCTTCCAAGTTGGTTTTGGGAAAGGCTGTCTCATCATAATGAAATTGATTTTGTAGATCTCTCCAACAATCAAATTAGGGGAACAATTCCAAACTCGCAAATCGATTTTTTATATTACCCTCGTCTACTAAATTTGAGTTGGAACCAATTGGAAGGTCAAGTCCCTCCATTCCTATTAAAAGCGTCATCTCTTGATCTGTCCCACAATAATTTTTCAGGGTCTTTTTCTTTCTTGTTTCCAATGAAGGCAAGTAACTTAACGTTGCTTGATCTCTCGAGCAACCATTTAGACGGACAACTTCCCGATTGCTGGACTCATTTCAAAAATCTTTTAATTCTTGATTTGAGTGACAACCATTTTTCGGGGAGAATTCCTACCACAATGGGCTCTTTATTTTCTATTCAAACATTGAACCTAAACAATAATGGATTTGTGGGGGAATTGCCTTCATCCTTGAACAATTGTTCAAGCCTAGTAGTTTTTGATGTTGCAAATAATAACTTATCAGGGCCGATACCTGAATGGTTAAGGTATGGACTTCCAAATTTGACTATCCTTATACTTCGTTTGAATCACTTCTATGGAAGCATTCCGTTACAAATGTGTAATATGAGAAGCATTCAAATTTTGGATTTCTCGATGAACAATATCTCCGGAAGTATACCCAAATGCCTCAACAATTTGACTAATTTGGCTATAAGAGGAAGTTCAAGTCTAACTATCACTCGTACCATTTATGTAAACTCCCATACTATCACTGGTTATAGTTATGATGACGAAGCATCCTTGATATGGAAAGGCATGATGTCCAAATACAAGCATTCTAGGGCTTGTAAAGAGTATTCATCTGTCCAGTAACCGATTAACAGGAGAGATTCCTTGTGAAATCACTGATCTTGTGGGGTTGGTTTCTTTAAACCTATCAAGAAACAACTTAACAGGTCAAATAACTCCAAATATCGGGAAGTTGCAGTCTTTAGATTTGCTTGATTTGTCAAACAACCAAATACATGGTACAATTCCAACAAGTCTCTTTGGAATATCTGGCCTTGGTATGTTGGACTTGTCCAACAACAACCTGTCTGGAAAAATTCCCATAGGATCTCAGCTTCAAATTTATGAGCCCTCTGTTTTTGCCGGAAATCCTCTCCTTTGTGGAATTCCACTTCAGACATGCTCTTCTGAGGAAACAACTCCAGAGGAGCAGCCGGTGGTTGGGAATCAGGATGAAGATAATGATGGGTTTATAACTCCGGGATTTTACGTGAGTTTGGGGCTTGGATTTGTTGTTGGATTCTGGGGAGTTTGTGGGAGTTCGATATTCAATAGGTTATGGAGATACACATACTTCAAGCTCTTGAATGGTTTAAATGATTGGCTTTATGTCGGGGTGACATTGTTCGGGCAACAAAGAATGCTCGATGAATAAACTGTAAGTTTTCTGTGACATAATGAATAATATTGCAATTAACATACATGTCTTCTTCTCTTTTAAACTCCCGGCTAACAGCTAACGCCTGTGGTTTACCTGAATTTTTGTAGCTCGTTCATCGTCTTGTTTGCTACTTCATGCTAACCCTTTCGGCTTTCGGTTTGAGGAGGAGCCTGAAGGAGAAGAAGAATGCAATAACTTTTAGGGTAAAAGACTGTTTACTACCCTCATGTTTCGTGGTTTTCAACATTTAGTACATCATGTTTTTTTCGTCTCAGAGTCATACCTAAAGTGTAAATTTTGGGACAGTCTCATACATCCGTTAGTCAAACTGTTAAGTTTTTCGTTAACTGTGACGTGGCGCACTGAGTGGACGCCACGTATCATCCACGTTTTTTTTTTTTTTTTTTTTTTTTTTTTTTTGCTTCTTCCTTCCTTCCTTCCTTCCTTCCTTTTCTTCCCCTTCTTCCTTCTTCTTCCTTCTTCTTCCTCCGAAATTTGGGGAATGTTTTTTTTTTTCTTCTTCTTCTTCTCCTTCTTCCTTCCCTTCCTTCTTCCTTCTTCTTCTTCTTCTCTTCTTCTTCTTCCTCCGAAATCTGGGGAAGTTTGTTTTTTTTTTTTTTTCTTTCTTCTTCTTCCTCCTTCTTTTCTTCTTTCTCTTTCCTCCTTCCTTCCTTCTTCTTCTTCTTCTTCTTCTTCTTCTTCTTCCTCCGAATCTGCCCAGATTCAATTTTTTTTTTCTTCCTCCTTCTTCTCCTTCTTCCTTCCCCTTCTTCTCCTTCTTCGTTCTTCTTCTTCTTCCTCCGAATTTGGGGGAAGATGAAAGTGTTTTTTTTTTTTTTTTTTTGAGAAAGAAGATGGAGAAGAAGAAGATAGAAAGAAAAAAAAAACATTCCCCAAATTTCGGAGGAAGAAGAAGGAAGAAGGGGAAGAAAGGGAAATGAAGGAGGAAGGAAGGAAGAAGCAAAAGGAAGAAGCAAAAAAAAAAAAAAAAAAAAAAAAAAGTAGAAAGTTGCAGTCGGAGGAAGAAGAAGAAGAAGGAAGAAGAAGAAAAAAAAAACGTGGATGACACGTGGCGCCCACTCAGTGCGCCACGTCACAGTTAACGAAAAACTTAACAGTTTGACTAACGGATGTATGAGACTGTCCCAAAATTTACACTTTAGGTATGACTCTGAGACGAAAAAAACTTGATGTACTAAATGTTGAAAACCACGAAACATTAGGGTTGTAAACAGTCTTTTACCCTAACTTTTAAGTTATGGGGGAAGAGATTTTACAGATTGAAGAGCTCTACTGTTACTTGTAACAATAAGTTGGAATTTCTCCAAATACATTAGAGGTAGATGTATTTGACTCATTGTCGAGTTGTAATTTCACACAAGTATTTATGGTTTTAGTTTCAATTTTTCTCAATTTGTAATGGATGAATAAACTGCATTCCAAATTGAAAGCCAGGTTCAAAGAGCTGTGTGTAAGAGACTAAAAAGAATGGCACTAAACGAAGGACATGAATTAAAATTTCAAAACTACATTGAACTTGTTAAACAAATGCCAAAATAAGTGAGACGACCAGTTCGTGTAACCTCATACAAGCTCGTGATAAACGGACGAGTTTGGCTCATAAAAATAGAGGCAGAAGTATTATTTTTTGATTTATTTGTTGCCCTAACATACGAACAGTTGCCCCCAAAATCCAACTCCAGCTAATTACCCCAACAAAAGAAGAAGATTAAATTATGAAGAAGGGAAAAAATAATTATGTTTGGGTCCAAATAAATGAGAATAGGAACTCTTGGTAGCCTGTTAGCATCTGGTCAAAATTGTTCCAGCCTTTGGCCAATAAGAGTTTTGTTCGAGCCGTTTCCACTCTGGATATACTCCTGTATGCTCGAGTGGTAAGATGAGTAATAGGGAATGTAATGCTGAATAAGTGCTCTTGAGTTTAATGTTTGTCTCTTGTTCTGATCCTTCGGTGAATAACATACGATTCAAAAGCGGATAAAACAGATACACACTCGGGAGTTTCATAAAGAAAGATATGTTATACAATGTATTCAAACGTTGATCGAACATTCAGGATTGGTACAATACTAGTGGAATTAAGCTTGTCTGAGTGAGGGAATATCACTAATCAAATAGCTAATGCACAGCCAACTAAGTGAACAGGGAAGGGGGGCAATATCGATATCAATATCAATTCCTCTCACTTGGTAAAATTATAACGTGACAGAAACAGAATGGCCAACTATGAATAACCAGGAATACGAAAAGAAATACTAATGAATAATATTCATCAGCCCGTGAAAAATAAAAAATAAAAAATAAAGGAGATTCTGGAAAACCACACGTAGGAGACAAGTAAACAGATTATACTTTCCAGCTTTCACTCCACAACTATATACTTTATGGATATCATATAGTAAAGAGGAATGGTGAAAACATTTTCTTTTCGGGTTGCAGAGTTAAGTTTCACAGACCCACCGGGATTAGCACTCGCCCTCCACCCTTGGTCTTAAGGAACATGGCATGTCATTAGGTTCAAAAGCTATTTGAAGGGAGAAACATGTAAAGCATTTGTAACCTTACTTACCAAAAGAAAGTAACGAAAATATCTTAGCGCTGATTTACTTATGTGACAAGAGTATTATGTGTCAGGAAAAAAAAAATGGTAGAAGGCTAGAAGCTTTCGAAGAGGAACAAAAAAGTAAGAAGAAAGAGAACATACAAGCATATCTTCTGACAGAACTGTTTCCATTAATGGAAAATGGTACAGGCCTCCTTTCCTGACCCAAAGATAGGATTTCTTGCATCCTTTCAGGCCAGTCTGAATTTAACCTCCGAGCAAAATCTTCAACCTCCGTGAACAAAGATTTAAGAAAATACGTAACAGCAGCAAGAACAAGGTTTCTCTCTACAAATTGCGTATTTACATGCAGAACCATTGTGGATTACGCAACTTAAAATTTCCAGTTACATCCTAATCAGAAAATAAAATAATACTGACTGTAGAGAAAAAGATTTGCAGTGCCAGAAGAGTGGGCGGCCGGAACCATGTTTCGCAACAGATGCTTAATGGTGATGACCAGAACGAGAGCTCTTTTTCTTTATAAGCATAAACAAATATATATTTAAAATATCCAAACACACACACAAAATAGGAATTAACCCAAAACACACACAAAACCGGCCTAAGAGGGAATGGAGTGATGGCTCACTTACTACAAGTTTTTTACTCACTTAGAATGAGGTATAAGGTCAGCTTTAAGCTCCATCCTTCATTAGGGTTTCTTTGAGGAAAGATGAGCGAACATAAGCTCTCTCTTTCTCTCTAGAGAGGCCAGCCAACATCAAATCTTTAGCTAGCAATCTTTGCTTCCATGGTCACTTATCTTCGTCCTTCACCATTCTTGGTGTCAGAATTTAAAGGTCTCCAACTTTTGGGGACTTTTGGAGAATCATTCAAGCATCCAAATTCAAGAATCCAAAGAGGCTACAAGATGAAGATGACGACCATGGAGTCCTAACTCAAGGAGAAGAATGAAGGTCTTCTCATTAGTCTTTGCTCATGCAAAGAGAAACTCCAAAGTATCAAATTTTTAACTCTTTTGTTATTAGAGTTAAGTCTTAGTTCACTACCACTACTACGCTTTAAATTTCATGGTTTAAGTTTTGTTTTAAATTGCATACAAGCACGCTTCCTCCATTTAATTTTTGAAAGCATGCAATTTGTTGCTTAATGAACTTAGATTTTCACAAATTTTCCTTCAGTTATATGGATCCCCAAGCCTTCCGGCAGAAATTCAGCAATAATAGACCTGGGTTTTGGTCACATTCGCCATTGAAGATGAACTAACTTCGACAACCCGCTGCAGCGCAACCCACGAGGTCACCCACCTTCAGCCCTCGCGGTTTGAAGTTTGGATCGCCACGACGCCAGCCTTATTCCACAATAGCAGCAGCACTCCACAGACCCGTCGCTGCAACCCATGAAGCTTCAACCCGCGGTTCGTACCACCAGACCCCAGCCGCAACCACATTCGAATCCCTCGACAGCCGTCCCCCGAGCACAGCTTTCCCCGCGACGCAACTGCAGCTCAACCCACGACCAGTTTCAGTCACGAGCTTCGAGTTCAACCTTTGGAGGTCTCGCGTTTCCCAGATCTTCAGTCATGAACAGACGATGGTCTTTGTGCAGCCCGAAAAGGAGAGATCGACGAGGATAAGGAAGGAAATGGATGAAGGGATAAGGAAGGAAAGAGAGAGTTGTGTGGCTGTGCGACCGTTTGGAGGAGAGAGACGGAAACAACAATAGAAAGGGCGCTGGCTACTGCAACAAGAAGGCTGGGTCCAAACTTGGGCCTAGTGGGCGTCCAGCACAAAAGGGATAAGGTTAGCCTGCTGCAATGGTTAAGCGGCGTGGGCCTCCTTCCCTCTTTTGCCTTGAGCTATTAAAAATAAAAATCAGGGAGGCAACAAAGAAATTGAATAAAACAAAGATATGTGGCCTTATAAAAGAAGGCTCAAATGTACACCAGAAGAAGGAAGGGAGAGAATTTTTGAAATTTGTGCTCCTTCGGTGACTCGGGAAATTAAGACACCTTCTTCAGCAACTCTCCTTATTCGAAGATTTCAACAGACTCCACTATATGCTACTACACTTCGATAGTTATAAGTTTCGTAATTACTCAGTGACTTGGGTTTTGTAAGTCCCAACTAGTAAACTTTCCTCACTCGAGAACTTGGGGAGATAACTATTTGTATTGTACTTGACCAATCATGAAACTATCGGTCAACTTCATATCTTCAAGGACCCACTGAAGGGTTCGTGATGAGGCACTCCTGCCGAAGCACAAGAGTTCTCTCCAATTAGAAGGCCAATTTAGTTCCTGAATTATCACCTGAGTGAAAATTAGGTCCTAACTTCTTCTCTCTTTTTTTCAGAAAAACTAGTCCTTGAATTATAAAACTCGGCCAATTACATCCCTAATATTATATTTGAAGCTACGATATTCAATTTTCCATCAACTTAAGTCACGGTACATGCATGTGATACACATTTGAGGGTAGATTGGTAATTTTACATAAAGAATAGTGTTTGGAGTTAACTTTGAAGGGTTAATTAGATATTGGATTCGCAACCTATATAAAATGTTAAGGGCTTATTGGCTAAAAATGATGGTCTTACACTCTAAAGTGTTTCAAGTGACTTAAGTTGATGAAAAATTGAATAAAAAAAAGCTTTGAATATAATACTAGAGATGAAATTAGTAATTAACTGAAAAATAAGACCTAATTTTTACTAAGATAACAGTTCAGAGACTAAATTGACATTTTATCCTAAATCAATTGCATCTTTTGGGTTTCTCACCACTCCTTGAAACACCAATTCATTTATGCACTTCCAAATTCTCCAAAGAACAAAAACCACCTCCTACATAATCTCCTCTCTCCGCTGCTCATCCTTACATCGCATACCAATATACTCCAACACGCACGAAAATCAATCCCCACAAACGCCGTTGCATCCAGTTGTAATGAGCAGCAATACCAAATGACACGACTAAATTCACACCCAAAAAATAGGTGTTCTTCCATTTCCTCAGCACACCCACAAAGGACACATGAATTGTCCACTCTCATCCTCCTACGAATTAGATTTCACCGAACCGCCATAGAGTTGTTACAACACCTCCAAATAAAAAAACTTCATTTCTTTGGCACATGTAATCTCCATATATTCGGATTATTGTTTAAGTGTCGATTAACGTGTTTATTTCTTATTGGTGACACATAATTTGGTTTGAAATTGGCTTATAAATTTGATTAACCTAGCATTACTCAACACAGTCAGACTCATTCACAATCTAACAAATGTCCCTAACTTAAGCTATTTGTCGCCCCAACATACCTGGGTGTAGAAAATTGACTATAGCAGTATGCTTCTATTGAACTTGAACTCAATGTTCTAAACCTCCTTCCCATAGTTTAAATTAGATTAGAATATTGCTCAAATTAGAAAAGCTAGATGTAGCCCCAAACTTAATCCGGATGATGAACATGCAAAGTATGATTATGTTGTAAGCACTTATTTAAATAATATTGATCATTCTTGCTATAATATCTCACCTACTGAAGCGTGCACTGATTGCCTCGCTTTTAAAAAGATTAACTTTCATCCAGATTTAGTGGTTGACTTGAAAAGATAATACTTTTGAAAGTTGTTGCTTTAATAAAATTATTTTACACTAAGATTTCCATACCTTGGTGAATCAAAACAGTAGTTTGGCGGAAAGCAAATTTGTTAATCAAAAAAGTAGTTAATTTGTTAATCAAAAAAGTAGTTTGGCGGAAAGCAAATTTGTTAATCAAAAAAGTAGTTTGGCGGAAAGCAAATTTGTTAAACAACTCGTCTTTGTTTTGGTTGCTTGTATTTTATCAAAACTTAGTGGGTGGGCAATGCATATAGATTATTGGGCGAACTAGAAAAAGCAGTAAATTAGGTGGAAAGAAAATTTGTTAAAGACTCACCTATATCTGGTGCATAAAAAAATCTCATTTTATCAATCATTGTCTAGTGAAATTATTGTATAGCTTAGTGCTTGATGTAGTTTATCAAGTGGAATTATTCTGCTTTCGTAGCTGATTGTGCTTCTTGGTCTTAATTTGACTCTAATGAACATGGTTGAACTTGAAGGAATGTACAGCTTCAAAGTGCTTTACCCTTGGATTTCAGTACCTTGATGAATAAAAAAATAGTTTGTTGGAAAGCAAATTAGGTAAAGACTCACCTATATATGTGGTGCATTATAAAGGTTCAATTTATCAATTATAATGTCTACTGAATTATTATATAGCGGGCATTTCTAATGGGGACTCTAAAGCCATCTCCAACCGATGGTTAGCCAGATGACTCGTTTTAGTCATCTGGCCCTCTAAGATCCTCCAAGATATTAATATTTTAATGAACAATACATATCCATATTTGCCTCCGTCTCCAACCGAGGGCCAGATGGCTCGTTTTAGCCCTATCACACAAAAACCGTCTCCAATCGAGGGCCAGAGGGTCATAAGGCCAAACATAATTTATTATTTAAAAACTACAACTTAAAATAAAATGAAACAAATTTTGTGAAATAGAAGTTATAGGAAAAAATGGAATTTAAAAAAAATATGAAACAAATTTTGTAAAATAAAAGTTATAGGAAAAAATAGAAGTTATATGAAAAATTTTGTAAATAAAAAATAATAATAAAACTGTAAAAAAAAAAATCAAATCAAATGCAACAACTAGTCAGCTAGCCGTTGCATTTGAATTCTTTCTTAAGAAAACCGACAGTAATACATTTATACTAAATAATATAAATGTATTCATGTCGGCTATAACCGACAGAAATAACAAAACATTAAAAAAAATGGCCAGCCCCAGGCTGGCTGGCTGCATGCAGCTAGCCCTCCAGCCCTCTTCGATTCCGTGGGACCCTCCCAGGTTCCAGAGCCCTCTGACCTAGCCCTCGGTTGGAGACGGTTTTCAAGCTATTTTCGGCCCTCTGACCCTCTGGACCCTTAGGTTGGAAATGGCCTAAATGGTGTCTCCACAACCTTATAGCCTCTAAATATAGGGACAAAGGGCTTTCAATAGGCTTCTAATGAGCTGGACTAAAGGTTTTTACAGTATCCCAATGTATAGAGACTCATCGGATACCTCAAAAAAATTCTCAAATGTAAAGACAACATAGGGACTCAAAGAGTGCGCCCAAATGTTGATTTTAAGTGGGAAACAAACCTCACCCACGTGATAATGTTGGACAAAAGCTTCTCTCACCACCAAACTGACGCAACGTCAGTCATGGGCCCATACTGCACTTGTGTCATTTTTCTTTCTTTTCTTTTTTTTTTTTGAACCATTGAGAAACCAACGGTTGAGTTTTTTTTTTTTTTTTGGTTTTTGTTTCTTGTTTTTATCGGCAACCACAATACTATAACGAAATAAACAATGCTTTTTTTTTTAAATATTTTAGTCCCTACATTTAAAGATTCTATTATAAGGACCTCCTATTGCAGACAATATTCATTTGAAGACCTGAATATTCTCTTAAAGCCCCTAAAAGTGTCCTCAAGTGTGGTGGTGGATACCCAAAAATAGGTATTCCATTGAAGATGCTCTTGGTACTCGATGAACTTATCAAGTGGAATAACTTTGCTTTCCTTAGTAATTGTACTTGGTCTTAATTTGACTCTAATGAACATGGTTGAACGTACTGCTTTTATTACTACACATGAATCCCTGCATTGGATGCATTGAGAAGATTTTACATCAGTGTGGGGATCGGGTTTGTTGTTGAATTTTGGGATGTTTGTGGCACATTGATATTCAACAGGTCATGGAGATATTCATACTTCAAGTACTGAAATGTTGTAAACGATTGGATTTAGGAAAGGGTGGAGTTGACAGATAATGCTTTGATGTTGTTTTTGTGGATGCAAATTTCTTCCTTCTTGATCTTAGACAAAATTGCACCTACAAAACAATGAACATCTCAGCTCAAGGCCAAGAGCCTCACGTGCCCATGATGAATGGAGGGCTTTGGCTGAAGAACCTCTGATGCCAAAGTTAAAATTTAGAAAGAAAAAATGTTTGAGAATTCTAGAGAATTTTAGCAAGAGTTGGAACTAGTTTTTGGGAGAGAATGGTGAGCTATATATAGGGATATGGCCGGTCCTATTAGGAAAATAGGGACCGGCCATTTAGGTATTTTTTGGGTGTAAATTGTGGTTAATTAGCCATTAATAGTTTAACTAGGCAATAAATCTATTAATGGACTAATTAACATATTTTGAAAGAAATTATATAGGGAGTTATGGAATGATTAAAATAATTAGCTAATTGATTAGCTAAAAATGGAAAAATGAGGTAGAAATATATGGAATGAAATAGGTTTTAGGAGTTACCTTGTAGAAGGGATTTGATGAGATAGGTTTTGAATTGTTACCTATTTTGGGCACTTTTGATTTAGTTGAAGGATGATTGCCCGCTGCTCATGCGTAAGAATCTCGTTGTACCTTAAGGGTATTTTTGTCCTCTTTTATCCTGTCGCATTGTGATTATTTTTGGCTCCACAGTTTTAGCAGCATCTTTTTGGCTCATGCATATCTTGGTGACACTCATGCATGTGCCATTCAGTTGGAGACGGAGATTGGTGACTGCACTTTTAAAATTATGACGGACAACTACTAGTGTACTTAACTTGTGTTTGATTTTGTGGCCTTGTCTCAATGTCGACAATTTGCGCACTATATTTTTGCTTTTGAGGAAGCAGCACATGAAAGATTCATGCCAAAGGGTAAGGCAAATACATGTAATAATTTGAAGACAAAAAATCACTAATTCAGGTCAATACATTTTCTATTTGCATTGTAGAAATTTTGATTTTGTTCATCACTTATTGTCTCCTCTTGTATGAAAAAAGTTGTTCTTTCTAATACCATGGAATTTTTTATTTTGCATTGTGAAAATTTTGATTTTGTTCCGCTTTTTTACCGTGATTTCGGCAACTATTTTCGTCGATTGAAGTATTGTCACGTCCCGGACTCAAAATGAGTGAAAGAAATGATCTCGGGCCCATATGCGAATAAAAATAAAATAAATAAAAAGAAACTTAAACAGGTTTGAAAACTAGCTCATTTAAAAATGATGCGGAAGAATAAATAGGCTAGTACGCCAGAATGAATGGGAAATTGATTTATTTAATATACGAGTCAAATACACAATAAATAAGAATTTACTAAAATACAATAATCACCATTCGACTTCACGTACATTTCACGAGTCCCTTAATTCTCTAAATTGATCTGCAGCCTTAGATGCTTGGATTCGACTCCCTGATCACTGATGTGAAAATTGTACTGTAATTCGACTTAACTCAAGTTATGAAAATACAGTAAACAAGTTGGAAGGCTACAAAGTTCCCTCTGTCTCACTTTCCTTCTTTTTCTTCGGGTCTGAAAACTTGGAAAACAAATGGTGTTTTCCTCGGACTAGGATTGTCTGCCCTCCACTTCCGATGTCATTTCCGTTTCCTCCTATTTGTGTGGTCACGGTTAAGCCACGTCAACATTCTATATTACTATTTATTTTTGTCTTATTATATCTATAAAAAATATATATATAAAATGTTGACGTAACTTAACCGTGACCACACAAAACAGGAGGGCACTGGAAGTGGAGGGCAGACAATCCTTGTCCGTTTTCCTCTTCATTCTTTTCTCTTTCTTTGTGGTCCAATCAAAGAACAAGAGGGCACGAAAGGGCACTGGAAGTGGAAGGACAGACGACCTTTGTCCCCAATCAAAATCCTTCATATGTGACCCCATGTCATCATTCATATGTGGCTAGCTATCAATTTGTCACGTGGCGAAGTCAACCATCTGTCGCTGCCACATGTCAATCATTTAGTCGTCCTCTAAACTGACAAATATTCCGAAAGATACTATCAAAATCACCTCTAGTTTCATCCTACTACTTCCGGATCATCAATTGTTCTCAATCAAAATAATATTTTTCCCAATATCTTAGTCATCCGAAATAACGACTACTTGTGAAACATTAATAATTTCAGGGTTTCAAAGCTATGAACCTTCATCTATTCTTCACAATCTTCAAGTTAGTATGCTTTGTTTCTACATTAATAGCCGTTTTGGAGTCGGGTGTTTAGAAACTTATAAATCTGGTTTTGGCCGATGGTTTTGGTCGGTTGCCGGCTAGAATTGATTGTCGGGATAGTTATAAAAGTTGATCCTTATGTTGAGTTCTATATGCCTGTAAAATTTGGTGTGTCAGAAAATTGGGTTTCTAGTTTCATAATCATATCAACACTAAATCAAGCCCAGAAAGGTGGCGTTAGAAAGATTTGTATATCCCTCACAAACTTGTAGAAGGAACCTTCCTTAAAAATCACCATCTTGACCGGCTTATAGAACAACTAAGCCCAAAAATTCAAACTGATAGCACTACGCAGTCAACCTTCTTTTCTTTGCCACAATCAAATGGCATGGAATAAAAATCTTGAATTTTTACACTATTAACTTGAAAGATCACAAACACACAGAATTACTTCAAATTCCTTTTTTTTGATAACTTTTTTCCCTACCAACGAAATATAGAATAAAGTATTAAAATTATACCAAAATAGTTAATAAATTATATCTAAGACTATGGTAAAAATATAGAATAATGTTGATTCATCAGCAAGTATTGAAATAATAGTTTAACACATTTTTATTTGGCCTATCGATTCACCAAACATATACATACACATAACTAGAGACAGCAAGAGAGAGAATAGTGGGAATCATTCATCCCACAGTCCGACGCATGGATTCTCCCCAATTCAACGAAAGTCCTCTTCATTATGTACACAAAATAACAACAAACACGTTTTTGAGTAATTATATCTCTGCCTGCCCTTTTACTTTTGACTTTAGAGAAAGCGGCTCATGTGATGTACGATTCATGCCTAACTTTAAAGGCAAATACATTATTCTAACAAACTATTAAAACTTAAAGGGGTAATTTGGATTTCAGAGAATTTTAATGGATTTTTTTTAAGTAACAAATTTGAAAAGATTTTAATAGATTTATAATTTTACTTGGATTTTGACAAATGTATATGGATTCCTATTATAGATTTTTATGGATTTGAATGGATTTCTTTAATGGATTTCTTAGGATGTTAGTTGACTCCTACAACATAAAATGAATTTGTTCGTGGCAGGAATTTCCTTGGAGGATGTTCCCTGGCCGACGAGCACACAGCTCCCCGGGATGGTTGGCGCCGGTTGAGGCTTCCTGTCAGGCTTCTGCTTTACTGGCGGGCTTGTCGGGCAAAGCTTAGTCGGGCAAGGCTTGTCGGGCAAAGCTTAGTCGGGCAAGGCTTGTCGGGCAAAGTTCTTCGGGCAAGGCTGAAAGAGAAGGACAGAGTTAACTTTGAAATAATGCCTTTATGGGGCCTTAGGTGTAGGCCTTCCCTTTCTCTTGGATTCAATAATATTTCTTCAGGAGGAGTGACGAGGTGCTTTGAGAGGGAAAGAGAAGCACTTCTTGCTTTCAAACAGGGCCTCGTGGATCACTACAATCTCCTCTCTTCGTGGGGAAGAGAAGATCACAAACAAGATTGTTGCAAATGGGTAGACGTCCATTGCAGCAACCGAACCAACCATGTTACTCAACTTCATCTTGGACGGGAAAGTCTCGTGCGTGTCGTACAGCGTGTCCCGCCTCCCCCAGTTCTTAGGGATGAAACCAGAAATTTAACTAAGAGGGGGCATCTTAAAAAATTTGAGCTCCTTTTTTGGACAAATAAAGTTAGTTCTTTTACAAATGCTGAAAAATTAATTACAAAATGCCTAATTTTATTACTCTATTGTCTAATTTTGTCTTTAATTGTTGACAATCTAATGTTCATTTGTACTAATTAACCAAATACATGTAACTCAATAAGGTTTAGACATTAGTGTGTGAGAAAAATATATAAGACGGAGGAGCATTTGAAAACTAAAAAAAGATTTTCACTATTTTAATATGATTAATTGAATAATCTGCCAAGCAAAAAAAAATAGAAATGATTAATTGAATAATTTGTCCTGAGGGACCACGTGTCGTGAGCCGTTCCTGCTGCGACTCAGTGCTTTGTTCGCAGAGATGAGCGATAGGATCGTCTCCGTGGCGGTCGACTGTAAGCAGAGCATGTTCTACGGGACCACCGTCCGTGGGGTCAAGTTCTGGGACCCTACTTCTTCTTCATAAACCCGAGGCCGACGTACGAGGCCACGTTTCTGGACCGGCAGCCGGACAACATGTCGGACGACAAGTTTCTAATTCCACAAAATACAAAAAGACTTATAAAATGTAAACAGAACGAAACAATCAACGCGGAATTGTGTTGATTGTTGCAGGCTTTGTCATTATTTTGGAGAGAAGAGTCAGCGTCTAATTACTACACCTACGTACAGAAAAGTAGGTGGTCCACTCACACATGTTTCATACTTGACCATTTGAGTCAAGACAACTCAGTGTGTGGATCGTATTGTGAACTATTACGTAGTGACCCAGCCTTATAAGATACTCGCATCTTTCCTTGTGCTCCTAAATCAATTATGATCGTACACTTCTTCTTCTTCATTCTTCAATCATCTTTGCCTTGATTTTGTTGAATTAAGATGGAGAACGACGGAATCAGGTGCTTGAAGAAATTCTTTCACACTTCCATTGTGGTGCTACTTTTTCTACAATGTTTCAACCCTTCCCTATCCTCTGGATTCTATAATGTTTCTTTGGGTTTCGGAGCAATTGGCCACCGGGTGGTGACGAGGTGCATAAAGAGTGAAGGGGAAGCACTCCTTTCTTTCAAACAAGGTCTGATTGATGACTACAATCTCCTCTCCTCCTGGGGAAGAGAAGAACACAAGCAAGATTGTTGCAAATGGCTTGGCATCCACTGCAGCAACCGAACCAACCATGTTACTCAACTTGATCTTGGATGGAATCATATGAATGAAGTTTACTCACTTCAACAGAAAGGACAGCAGGAGTATCCCGTATATTACTTTCAAGGTAAAATGATGAGTCCTAAACTAATTGAGTTGCAGCATTTGAAATATTTGGACCTTTCTTCCATTAACTTCACTGGGACCCAGCTTCCAGATTTCATTGGTTCTCTTTCCAATTTAAGACACCTCGATCTCTGGTATGCTTCTTTTGGTGGTCGAATTCCAACTCAGATTGGAAACCTTACTCACTTGCAATATCTTGATCTCAGATCCAATCACTTTGCTAATGTAGAAAATATCAATTCATGGCTACCTCATCTTTCTTCTTTAACATATTTGGACCTGAGTTACAACAATCTTAGTAATGTTCCTGACTGGTTGGAAATAGTTAGTAAGCTCCCTAAACTTACTAACTTGTCTCTGTCTTATTGTAGTCTTCCTTCTCTTCTAATTCATTCCAGTACTCTTTTTAACATAAATTCTTCTAAATCTCTTGCTCATGTTGATCTCAGTGATAACCAACTCACTTCTTCCATATTTCTTTGGTTGTCCAAATACAATGCCAGCCTTGTTCATCTTGATCTCAAATACAATAACTTTGCTAATGTAGAAAATCTGAATTCATGGCTGCCTCATCTTTCTGCTTTAACATATTTGGACCTAAGTTACAGCAATCTCAGTAATGTTCCTGACTGGATCGAAGCAGTTAATAATCTCCCTAAACTTACAAACTTGTCTCTGTCTTATTGCAGTCTTCCTTCTCCTCTAATTCATTCCAGTACTCTTTTTAACATAAATTCTTCTAAATCTCTTGCTCATGTTGATCTCAGTGACAACCAACTCACATCTTCTTCCACATTTCTTTGGTTGTCCAAATACAATGCCAGCCTTGTTCATCTTGATCTCAAATACAATAACTTTGCTAATGTAGAAAATCTGAATTCATGGCTGCCTCATCTTTCTGCTTTAACATATTTGGACCTGAGTTACAGCAATCTCAGTAATGTTCCTGACTGGATGGAAGCAGTTAATAAGCATCCTAAACTTACAAATTTGTCTCTGTCTAATTGTGGTCTTCCTTCTCCTCTAATTCATTCCAGTACTCTTTTTAACATAAATTCTTCTAAATCTCTTGCTCATGTTGATCTCAGTTACAACCAACTCACTTCTTCCATATTTCTTTGGTTGTCCAAATATAATTCCAGCCTTGTTCATCTTGACCTCTCTTACAACCAGTTAACTGGCTTATTTCCCGATGTCATTGGAAACATGAGCTCTCTTGCATATCTAGATCTCTCTTCTAACCAATTTAAAGGGGTGATTTCAGAAAGTCATTTCTCGGGTCTCTCCAGATTAAGATCTTTGTCTCTGTCCTCTACCTCACTAACTTTAAACTTCCATTCTAAATGGGTTCCTCCCTTCCAATTGGATGTCATATTCTTGAGGTCTTGCAAGATGGGTCCACATTTTCCAAATTGGCTTCAAACTCAGAAAAGTTATCGGACGCTTGATATTTCTAATGCTGGAATTTCTGATATCCTTCCAAGTTGGTTTTGGGAAAGGCTGTCTCATGCTCCTGAAATTGGTTATGTAGATCTCTCCAACAACCAAATTAGAGGAACAATTCCAAACTCGCAAATCAATTTTGTATGTTTCTCTCGTCAACTAAATTTGAGTTGGAACCAATTGGAAGGTCAAGTCCCTCCATTCCTATTGAAAGCTTCGTCATCTCTCTTTCTCTCCCACAATAAATTTTCAGGGTTGTTTTCTTTCTTGCTTCCAGTTAACGCAAGTCATTTAAGATTGCTTGATCTCTCGAGCAACCATTTACATGGAGAACTTCCCGATTGCTGGACTCATTTCAAAAATCTTTTAATTCTTGATTTGAGTGACAACCTTTTTTCTGGGAGAATTCCTGCCACAATGGGCTCTTTATCTTCAATTCAAACATTGAACCTAAACACTAATGGACTTGTGGGAGAATTGCCTTCATCTTTGAAGAACTGTACAAGTCTCATAGTTTTTGATGTTGGAGAAAATAAATTATCAGGTTTGATACCTGAATGGTTAGGGGTTGGACTTCCAAATTTGACTATCCTTATCCTCCGTTCTAATCACTTCTATGGAAGCATTCCATCACAATTGTGTAATATGGGAAGCATTCAAATTCTGGATTTCTCGATGAATAACATCTCCGGAAGTATACCCAAATGTCTCAACAATTTGACTAATTTGGCTCTAAGAGGAAGTTCAAGTCTAACTATCACTCACCTATTTAAGGCAACCTCCACTGATATTGCTGTCAGTATTTTTGATTATGAAGACGAAGCATCCTTGATATGGAATGGAATAATGTCCAAATACAAAAGTACCCTGGGGCTTGTAAAGAGTATCCATCTGTCAAGTAATCGATTAACGGGGGAGATTCCTAGTGAAGTCACTGATCTTGTGGGGCTGGTTTCTTTAAACCTATCAAGAAATAACTTAACAGGTCAAATAACTCCAAAAATAGGAAAGTTGCAGTCTTTAGATTTGCTTGATTTGTCAAACAACCAAATACATGGTACAATTCCAACAAGTCTCATTGGAATATCTGGCCTTGGTAAGTTGGACCTGTCCAACAACAACCTATCTGGAAAAATTCCCATCGGGTCTCAACTTCAACCCTATGACGCCACTGTTTTTGCTGGAAATCCTCTCCTTTGTGGAATTCCACTTGAACATATGTGCTCTCCTAAGGAAACAACACTGGAGGAGCAACCAGTGGTAGACAATCAAGATGAAGATGATGACGGGTTTATAACACCTGGATTTTACATGAGTTTGGGGCTTGGATTTATCATTGGATTCTGGGGAGTTTGTGGGAGTTTGATATTCAACAGGTCATGGAGATACATGTACTTCAAACTCTTGAATGGTTTAAATGATTGGCTTTATATCAAGGTGGCATTGTTCATGCAACGAAGAATGCTCGATGAATAAGCTGTAAGTATACTGTCACATAATGAATAATACTGCAATTAACATACATGTCCTCCTCTCTTTTAAACTCCCGGCTAACGGCTAACGCCTGTAATTTACTTGAATTTTTGTAGCTCGTCCATCGGCTTGTGTGGTACGACATGCTAACCCCTTCGGCTTTTGGGTTGAGAAGGAGCCTGAAGGACAATAGCTTTTAAGTTATGGTGGAATTTCTCCAAATTCATGAGTGGGAAATGTATTTGGTTCATTGTCGAGTTGTAATTTTACACAAATATTTATGGTTTTAGTTTCAATTTTTCCCAATTTGTTATGAATTAATGGATGAATAGACTGCGTTCCAAATTGAAAGCCAGGATTGAAGAGCTGTGTACAAGAGACTAAAAAGAGTGGCACTAAACGAAGACCAAAAAGAGTGCCACTAAACAATGGACATGAATTAAAATTTCAAAACTACATTGAACTTGTTAAACAAATTCAAAAATAAGTGAGACGACCAGTTTGTGTAATCTCATACAAGCTTGTGATAAACGAACAAGTTTGGCTCATGAAAACAAAGGCAAAATTATTATTATTTTTATTTATTTGTTGCCTTAACATACCAAACAGAAGCCCCCAAAATCCAACTCCGGCTAATTACCCCAACAAAAGAAGATTAAATTATGAAGAAGGGAAAAAATAATTATGTTTGGGTCCAAATAAATGAGAATTGGAACTCTTGGTAGCCTGTTAGCATCTGGTCAAAATTGTTCCAGCCTGTGGCTGATGAGAGTTTTGTTCGAGCCGTTTCCACTCTGGATGTACTCCTGTATGCACGAGAGGTAAGAGGAGTAAAAGGGAATGTAATGCTGAGTAAGTGCTCTACAGTTTATTGTTTGTGGCTTGTTTTGATCCTTCAGTAGAACGATGCAGAAGCAGATAAAACAGTGTATTCAAATATTGATCAAACATTCAGGATTGGTACAATACTAGTGGAATTAAGCTTGTCTGGGTGCGGGAATATCACTAATCAAATAGCTAATGCACAGCTAACTTGACTGAAAAGGGAAGGGAGGAAATAACGATGTCCATATCAATTCCTCTCACTTAGTAAAATAAGAACGTGATAGAAACAGAACAGCCAATTATGAATAACCAGGAATACGAAAAAAAATTCTAATGCATAATATCAATCAGCCCATGAAAAAAAAAGAGATTTTGGAAAACCACATGTAGGAGACAGGAAAACAGATTATACTTTCCAACTTTCGCTCCACAACTATATGCTTTTACGGATATCATATGGTAAAGAGGAATGTTGAAAAAACAATTTCTTTTCGGGTTGCATAGGTAAGTTTCACAGACCCACCGGGATTAGCACTCGCCCTCCACCCTTGGTCTTAAGGAACATGGCATGTCATTAGGTTCAAAAGCTAGTTGAAAGGAGAAACATGTAAAGCATTTGTAACCTTACCAAAAGAAACGAAAATACCTTAGCACAGATTTACTTATGTGACAATAGATTATGTATCAGGAAAAAAACAATGGTAGAAGCTTTCGGAAGGGAACAAAAAAGTAAGAAGAAAGAGAACATACAAGCATATCTTCTGAAAGAACTGTTTCCATTAATGGAAAATGTTACAGGCCTCCTTTCCTGACCCAAAGATAGGATCTCTTGCATCCTTTCAGGCCAGTCTGAATTTAACCTCCGAGCAAAATCTTCAACCTCCCTGAACAACGATTTAAGAAAATATGTAACATTAGCAAGAACCAAGTTTTGTCTCTATAAATTGCGTATTTACATGCAGAACCATGGTGGAGGATGCAACTTGAAATTCCAGTTACATCCTTATCAGAAAATAAAATAAACACTGACGAGAGAAAAAGACTTGCAGAACCAGAAGAGTGGGCGACCGGAACCATGTTTCACAACAGATGCTTAATGGTGATGACCAGAATGAGAGCTCTTTTTCTTTATAAACATAAACAAATATTTATTTAAAATGTCCAAACAACTATTGCACACAGAAAATCAAAAACCAACATCTCTCAAAGCCACCATAAAGAGCTAGCAAAGGCAAAACATTATCCCCAATGTTTACTCATTTTTATCACAGACCAACTTTTTTAAGCAACCTTTTTCATCTTCTTAGCTGGGTGAGGAGTGGATTTGAACATGGGACAGTTTAAAAAAGAAGTGGAGAAATACCACTACATTAATAGCTATTTAGTTTTTAAGCAAACTCTGCAACATTGAAAAACAAATGACAATTTGAAATTCTTTTGCAGTTATCAAATTTCATCTTCTAATTGCATATCTTCAATTTCAGAACTGCGTTCACAAAAATAAAATAAAAAAAGCAACGAAGTTGCACCATAATGAGATCCACCATTCTGTTTCCTTAAGCTTTCCATAACTAAAGTCATCATCGACAAAGTTATTACCACTGAGTTCAATTCAGTACTTTTTCTTCCACATGTTGCTCAACGTGATATATTTTTTTTTTTCATCCACTAAAATTAAAAAAGATGATATTATATTGCAAATCGTGTAATAACCCAAAATAGTTGCAGACAAACCTATCAATTTTTTCCTTCAATGCCGGATCAATCTCATCATCAATATCACCTTCATCAAACCCAATCATATCCTCCACCCTATCATCCTTTAGATCTTGTAGCTTTAATGTCAAACTAGAACTAGGCGTAAATTTGTTGAGTTCATCACTGGGGCAAGCAAAGTTAAGATTGCTCGACACCTAAAACATTTGGGCGAAAAGAAAAATGAAGAAAAACTAGCTACCCAACAACTCAAGCAGAAAAGTACAAGTTCAAGACCGAATTAGTGATTCAAACCTCATGGATCTCATTGGCCTCATATAGACACGTGCTTTTCTGCTGATCTTTTCTCCTGCGATTCTTCTTTTTGTTCTTGGAAGTTTTAATTCCTTTGGAATCTGTGAAACATAATTTCCTTACCTCCAATGAGGCCTTCAAAAGGAAATAAAGTAAAAATAGACGACTAAGACACTACACTTCAAATCCCATTTAAAGGAATCTTAAGTACTTCCAAGTACAGTATAATGTGGGCTAATGCAATCCTGAAAAAGATTAGTATCAAGTGTGCATTGTGCAATTTGCTCGTTGGAACTACAACCTACTCAATGATAAATCCAATTTCTCAATTAACAATAACCATGCAGTCAAGGAATAAGAGAGCAATTACTCAGGTATACCTCCAATTTCTCCATTAATGAATGACAAGAGATCATCAACTGAACGTTCATCGTTTTGCTCTTCTTCGAGATGACAAGAGATCATCAACTGAACGTTCATCGTTTTGCTCTTCTTCGAGCTCGTCATTCTGAAAAGTATGGAAGGTTCAATAATGACTACCAATAAGAAGGATATATTATTTAGCATAGTATAAAAGCCAGAAAACATATTATGTAGTACGTTTTGAATTTAGATTCATCAAATACCAAACTCACCTTCAATTTCTCTCTTTCCTGAAGTTCCCTCCTCTTTCTTGCATATAATCGATTCAAAAGTCGAATGCGTGGATCGTCAGTTGAATTTTTCAAAGGCTCCAACTTCTCTTCCTGGATGATTTCTTAGTGGTGTTAAAAACAACAAAGAAACACCAAGTTTTTGCTAAGCATACACAGAAATCTCAAGCATCGGAGACCTCTGTAAGATCATCAGGGAGATGAAATATTTCACGTATCTCCTCAGGTGTTTTCCCTTCAATTATTCGTGCAAGAGCACGACTAGTAAGATCCACCAATGGTTTTAATTGGAGGCTGTCAGCTGCTGAAGTCAACTCACAGAGCAACTTTGCGTCCATTCGGATGTATTTTTCATCAAAAGCCTTGCATTCCTACATAAACGAGTGGTGCCGAGTCATATGAGCGTGCCAAGTTTACACCAGCATCAGAGTAAACATTTAATCCAGTGTGCAGGTGGAGATTAATGTCCTCAATAGCTCAAATTTATGCAAAACAGACAGAGGGCATAGACTCAGAAAGAAGTAAAACAGAATGACATTCCAAAAACATGTAGAACCTTGTTCGAGCGACCTGGTACTTGATGAAATCGGCAGTAATCAAGAATTAAGCTCAACATTGCAGTACCGACTCTTTCAGGAAGAGATATTGCATGGTTCTTGGAAGCTCCCATCCCTTTCTGTATATTTTCTTTGCATATCATAGGGCAATACACGTGTTCGCTCCCTAAATCCGCCATGGCGCCTTGCGGGCAAGCCGGGGATTTACTTCACATATGAGATTGGTGGGTGCGGGCGTGCCACTACTAGATGCCGCTAGTAGACGGGATTTGAGTGATTGAGGTTGCGCCTGAATTTGCCCGAATCAAGAGATTGTGTCATTTGAGTGGGAGTTGCTCAAATTAAGGTTCTTTGTTTGCCTTAAAAATAAGGACTTTACTTATATGGAGAGATAGAACAATATGTAAATGATAAGGTTGCTTGGAAATATAAATGACAGAGGAAAGTGACTAAAATTGCAGATTGCTTGTAATTTATATGGCTGGAAATGAGTACATAACAGCTACAAATGAGATCGATACCGCAAGTGAGCAGCAGAGCTAATAAACTAGATAAAAGAAGGCTTTTTGGTGAAGGTTTATCCCGAATGGGATGAAGGTTTGGGCTGACTACAGCTTCGTTGAAGGCAAATCTGGCTTGAGCAGAGTTTTGGCTTTTGTTTGTTTGTTTGAGTGTCCATAATCCTTGTGCATCTGCTCCTTTTTATAGAGGTCTGGAGGAAACCCTCCTGCTGAGGTTTTGTATCTGCCCGAAAAAAGCTTGGGCAGCTTGTATTCCATTGCTTTAGACAGCTTGCATGCTTTTCACTTGCCAACTTGCATGGAGAAATAATATTAAAAGGGGAACTTGCATTTCCACCACAAGCTTTTAGCACATGTTTTCCCACTTGTAATAAACTAACATTTAAAAGAAGCAAGTTGGATTCTTTCACATGTTCCTTGCCCGAAAGCTTGCTGATGCTTTTCCATCCACTTGCAATACATGCATGTACCTTGATTAAACAAATGCTAGACAAACCTCCACCACCCAAACAAATAGGAGAAACAATATTATAGTGTCCAACCCCTCCACTTGCATCTAAATATCTTTCCAAGTTAGCTTTCTTGCATATTAATCCTCCAAATGCCATATTTTACCCAAATTGCCCAAATAAGTAAAAATGTGTATATTTTGAGTGCAAACAGTGCCCCCCAAGTTTTACAAATTTGAGCAAAGTTTGTGAAACTTACAACCCCAATGCTGCCAGGATTGATGTCGAAGGAAGAGGCACGTCTACATCTTCAGTCCTTTCGTCGTTGAGAAACTTGGCAAGATATGTTCGCTCCCTAAATCCGCCATGGCGCCTTGCGGGCAAGCCGGGGATTTACTTCACATATGAGATTGGTGGGTGCGGGCGTGCCACTACTAGATGCCGCTAGTAGACGGGATTTGAGTGATTGAGGTTGCGCCTGAATTTGCCCGAATCAAGAGATTGTGTCATTTGAGTGGGAGTTGCTCAAATTAAGATTCTTTGTTTGCCTTAAAAATAAGGACTTTACTTATATGGAGAGATAGAACAATATGTAAATGATAAGGTTGCTTGGAAATATAAATGACAGAGGAAAGTGACTAAAATTGCAGATTGCTTGTAATTTATATGGCTGGAAATGAGTACATAACAGCTACAAATGAGATCGATACCGCAAGTGAGCAGCAGAGCTAATAAACTAGATAAAAGAAGGCTTTTTGGTGAAGGTTTATCCCGAATGGGATGAAGGCTTGGGCTGACTACAGCTTCGTTGAAGGCAAATCTGGCTTGAGCAGAGTTTTGGCTTTTGTTTGTTTGTTTGAGTGTCCATAATCCTTGTGCATCTGCTCCTTTTTATAGAGGTCTGGAGGAAACCCTCCTGCTGAGGTTTTGTATCTGCCCGAAAGAAGCTTGGGCAACTTGTATTCCATTGCTTTAGACAGCTTGCATGCTTTTCACTTGCCAACTTGCATGGAGAAATAATATTAAAAGGGGAACTTGCATTTCCACCACAAGCTTTTAGCACATGTTTTCCCACTTGTAATAAACTAACATTTAAAAGAAGCAAGTTGGCTTCTTTCACATGTTCCTTGCTCGAAAGCTTGCTGATGCTTTTCCATCCACTTGCAATACATGCATGTATCTTGATTATACAAATGCTAGACAAACCTCCACCACCCAAACAAATAGGAGAAACAATATTATAGTGTCCAACCCCTCCACTTGCATCTAAATATCTTTCCAAGTTAGCTTTCTTGCATATTAATCCTCCAAATGCCATATTTTACCCAAATTGCCCAAATAAGTAAAAATGGGTATATTTTGAGTGCAAACAGTGCCCCCCAAGTTTTACAAATTTGAGCAAAGTTTGTGAAACTTACAACCCCAATGCTGCCAGGATTGATGTCGAAGGAAGAGGCACGTCTACATCTTCAGTCCTTTCGTCGTTGAGAAACTTGGCAAGATGAGCAAGGCAATTGGTAGTGTAACTAGCATTGGAAAGAATGTTGTCTGACTTGTGCATCCTTCTTGTTGATACCAAAAAACATGGGAGCAACCTCACTGATTACATAGATAATAAATTGGACAAATGCTCGAAGTCGGGCAAACTGGAGAACAAGGATAAAACATAAATAAACTTGGGCAACTATTTATTTTTTGTCTTTTTCTTTTGGCCTCTTTTCATATGTAATATAATATATAATACAAATACATATATATATATATATAATATAGCCCACTCGGCAAAGAGAACAGAAAGAGACAAGAAGAAAGAGAAAGGAAGGAAAAGAAAATAAATAAATAAAGAAAAAGGAAGAAAGAGAAGAGGACCCTTTCGGGCAAGAAGGGAACGGAAGAGACAGAAGAGAAAGAAAGGGGAAAGGAAAAGGGAGAGAGGGAAAGAAATAATAAAAAAGTAAGGAAAGAACCTTTCTTTCTTAGGCCGAGCCAAGTGAAGGACAGACCTTGAGAAAGGGACAAGGAACAGAAAGCAAGAGAAAAGAAAAAAGAAAAGGAAAAAGAAAGAGATAGATAGAGAGAAAAAGATACCCACGTTCTCTAGCCTTTCCTTTTCTCCAAAAGAGAAGCTGTTTCTCTGTTCGAGGCACCACTTAAAGATCAAGGTGCGGCAACCAAAATCCAAGTCTGAGAGAGAGAGAGAGAGAGAGAGAGCAATCCTTGTTCGTTCCCAAATTTTGCCTCTTTGGAATTAAGAGAAGTGGAAAGATGCCTCTTAAGCTAGCCGACGCCACCATCTCCACCTTCGATTGTGTGTTTGACAAATTCAAAGTAGAAGCTCTAAACAACAAAATCAATTTCATCCTTTTCTTGGCTGACAATGACCCTTCTACCTCTTGGTGCCCTGATTGTGTGAGATCTGAGCTTGTAATCTACAAAAGGCTAGAAGCTATACCAGATGATGTTGCACTGTTGAGGAAATCAAACTCCTCTGGTGTTATTTTGTTCAGAGCCCTCATAGTCTTTCACACGCGATCCTCATCAGATAGAGCAACCTTCTAGCTGACCATAGTACCTCAGCTTTGATTGAAGTAGGAGCAGGCCCTCCTCCTTGGTTCTGTTCATGCAAATTAAGCCTGATTTGCATCTTGCTGTTTGTGACCAAACCGATCACCAGACTTTTTGTTCTTCCGGAGAGCACCCGATGACCGTACTCTTTAAGGCAGGAATTGGTGTAGAAGTGCCACGCCAAACTCGGCTATTGGGCTCCGAATAATCAATTTTAGGCTGGAGATGGAGCTGGAGATTTGGTAGAATGGTTTTTGCATGACCTCAGTTCTGATCTTCACCACTGGAATTTCATCAGGGAGCAAAACAGCTTCCCTAAGCTGTAGTTGATTCTTTGGGACGGAGTGAGATGCATAGTGCGCTAGCACACTCCCCTCCCTAACCAGCAAAAATCCAGACTTTTCTTCCCATACTGAGAGATAATTAGGGAAACTAGAAATCCCCGAGATTGGGGAATGGAAGAATATCACCTGCAATTGTTGCTTATTGATCCATTCCATTGAGGTCGGGAGCTATACTAGACTTTGATCCGCTGTTTGATGTTCTTTGCCCGAGCTGCGGTTCCAAGACACCACCCATGGATTCGTTTTTGGAGTAACAATACCACATCGGGCTCATGGGAGTTTGCAATAACCCTGCTGTCGAAAGCATTGTTGGAATTAAGATCGTTATCACTTCCAACATGATGTTGCAGCGCAGGTTTTGGCTGGAATTTGTTGGGAGGTAACGACGAGCAGCTGTGAGCTACGATGTTGTTGGTTGACTTGTTTTTCACAGAAGCTTGCTCTGTCCACCATTTAAGCAATTTTTGGGCTAGGAAGCCATTGACAGGTTTGTTGGGGGAGTCGGTGTAATTTCCAGCATCTCCTTCAGGGGCAGCTATGGCACGAGCACTTCAAATACGTTTGCCCGATCAAACATGGGGCCCCATGTCTAATTGACAACATCTAAATAAATTGTAGCAGAGAAAAAGTCTTGCTCATCGGGCAAGATTATAGCTCCATCGGGCAATAGCAACATACTTTCATCAAGCATTCGGGCAAACTGCAAAAACAATTCTGCACCCACCATCCAACCTCCACGGTTTAATCGTAGCCTCAATGGTAGTCGTCGAAGTAGCCCGACCCTTGGTTGTAGGAGCTGGTGAGAGTTAGGGAGACATGCAGAGTCTGTTGGTGGTGAACAGGGAAGACGTCACTTCCGTCGGGCATGGTTATGGTGGTCTCATCGGGCACCACCAATCGGGCAAGATAACCCCCCTGCTCTTTTGCAATAGCCATTGAGAAGCTGTCTGATAGATTTTTGCACAGGAAAGCCATGATTTGGCTTTTTATAAAACCTCCAATTCCAAGATTCTGGGTGAGATTTTGTGGAAAATGTAGTTTTATTGTATGGTTTTGGGTTCGGGCTAAATACACCCATTGGATAAGAGAAAAGGTGGAAAGAAGGGTAAAAATGGCTACTCACAAACTGCCCAACTCTTTATATTTTCTGTAAAATTCCCCAGCAAGAAAACAAAAAGGGAAAGAAAGCAAGAAAAAACAAAGCAAGAAAGCAAAATGTTTTTGTAATTTTTGGAATTTTTAATTTTTATATCTTTTTCTTTGTAACAACACAAGAAACACACCAAGAAAACAGAGCCCTTTCGGGCAAACAGAAAAAGGAAATTAAAGGCCTGTCAAGCAAGTTGGAAAAAGACAAATAAAAAGAAAGACTTGTCAGACTTTCTTTAAAAAGAGTAAAACATAAAATGGACAAAAGCCCTTTCGGGCAAACCAACACCAAAGGAAGAAATATAATCTTTTTATTTTTCTTTGTTGTCCTTTTTTTTTTAAAAGCTATACATATAATATAATAAAATATACACCTACGAAAAGCCTTCGGGCAAAACACTTTTATCATATAATATAATATAATAAATATAGATATATAGATATAAAAGTGTTTTGGGCAGCAGAAAGACAGGTGAGAGAGAGACAAGAAGGAAAAGAAAGGAAGAAAGAAAGAAAGAAAAAGAAAAGGAAAGAAAAAGGAAAAGGAGGAGAAGGGTACTGGAGAAAAATGCACAAAAGAATAACATAAAAGAAAGCCATTCGGGCAAATTGGATGAAGCCCCTTGGCTACTCAAGTGTTATTTTTCTCTCAACACTCAAATCTTTTTCTCTTTTTAAAATTGAGTGTAGAGAGATCAAACCCACCATTTAAATTGGCCATGCTATGTAGCTTGGGAACCATAGGAGGTGGCCATTCATGTTTGATCCCAAGCTTTGTCCTCATTGAGATCTCGATGCGGACAACATGCTTGTGTTGGCGGGGAAGATTATAGGAGCTATTTTCTTCTTCTTCGGGCTCCACATGAGGTGTGGGCTCATGCCCCCCGAGCGTTGGTGTTTGGCCTACAACGGCTTGGACTTCTACAACCATATCCATTTTCATGGATTTTTCCTTGGGTGGGGCCATTGTTTGGCCTTCATCAACATGTATGATCTGTTCTTCCTTGGTTGTAGTAGGGTGAGTGTGCTTTGTAGAGGGGATTTGACACATTTGATCTATCAACTTTCCCAAAGTTTCTCCAAAAGTTGTATAGCTTTCCTCCACCTTTTTAAAACACTTAGTCATCTCTTCACCATATTCGATGCTTGCCACATGGAGTTTTGACACCTTCTCTAATTTGCCCACATCCTCTTTGTAGAGCTCTTCATCCGAATGATCATGAGTTGGCATCTTATATATTGGCTTTATGTACTTATTGGAAGTCTTTTGATACTCAAAGCCATTTGTTGGCCTATCATAGTATTCATGAATATGATTGTCTTCAAAAGAATAATAACCTTCATCATAACCATAAGTTGGCCAATCTGTAAGATCATTATTTATTTGATGGCCATTAGTTGGCCGACAATCATGTTCCATGGGACTTGAGTACTTTTCAGCCATGTACCCATAAGTTGGCAACTCATAGGTTGGCTCTATGTGATAGCCATAGCTTGGGCGCTCTTCCACACCATCATCTTCCGAAAAAGCAGAAAAATCATGAACATAAGGATTGTTCATGATCTAACTCCATATAAGGATCCCACCGGGCGTGCCAAAATATGTTCGCTCCCTAAATCCGCCATGGCGCCTTGCGGGCAAGCCGGGGATTTACTTCACATATGAGATTGGTGGGTGCGGGCGTGCCACTACTAGATGCCGCTAGTAGACGGGATTTGAGTGATTGAGGTTGCGCCTGAATTTGCCCGAATCAAGAGATTGTGTCATTTGAGTGGGAGTTGCTCAAATTAAGGTTCTTTGTTTGCCTTAAAAATAAGGACTTTACTTATATGGAGAGATAGAACAATATGTAAATGACAAGGTTGCTTGGAAATGTAACTGACAGAGGAAAGTGACTAATATTGCAGATTGCTTGTAATTTATATGACTGGAAATGAGTACATAAAAGCTACAAATGAAATCGATACTACAAGTGAGTAGCAGAGCTAATAAACTAGAGAAAAGAAGGCTTTTTGGTGAAGGTTGATCCCGAAAGGGATGAAGGCTTGGTGCTGACTACAGCTTCGTTTGAAGGCAAATCTGGCTTGAGCAGAGTTTTGGCTTTTGTTTGTTTGTTTGAGTGTCCATAATCCTTGTGCAGCTGCTCCTTTTTATAGAGGTCTGGAGGAAACCCTCCTGCTGAGGTTTTGTATCTGCCCGAAAGAAGCTTGGGCAGCTTGTATTTCATTGCTTTAGACAGCTTGCATGCTTTTCACTTGCCAACTTGCATGGAGAAATAATATTAAAAGGGGAACTTGCATTTCCACCACAAGCTTTTAGCACATGTTTTCCCACTTGTAATAAACTAACATTTAAAAGAAGCAAGTTGGCTTCTTTCACATGTTCCTTGCCCGAAAGCTTGCTGATGCTTTTCCATCCACTTGCAATACATGCATGTATCTTGATTAAACAAATGCTAGACAAACCTCCACCACCCAAACAAATAGGAGAAACAATATTATAGTGTCCAACCCCTCCACTTGCATCTAAATATCTTTCCAAGTTAGCTTTCTTGCATATTAATCCTCCAAATGTCATATTTTACCCAAATTGCCCAAATAAGTAAAAATGGGTATATTTTGAGTGCAAACAACATGTCAACCTCCTGTACCACTTGTTGGATTGAACCGTCGGTAGTCTGAAGCCAGATATAAGACTTCATCATCTGAGAATGAGTTGGCACCGATGTGGCTTTAGAATTCCAACATTACAAAGTACACGAAAAATATAAAACAGTTAAACAACCCACCCACCTTCACCCCCTCCAAATAAACAAAAACAAAAAGAGAGAACAAATTAACACTCAACAAGTAGAGGCGGCTACAAGCATTCAAAAGAAACGAAAAACAGAAAACAATCGATTCGACTATGGCTTGAAGAACAAAGAAAAGAAAACATAATGCATTTATCTATTAAACACTAGACAAAGACGACATAACATAGTGGAAAAAAAGGAAGAAGGGGCATAAAAAGAATCACGAAGAACGCGTACGGAAAAGTGATAATACCTCAGGTTCAATAACAGTCATGTCACCTTCTGACATTTGAACAATCCCAAGTTCTGAGGCTTAAAAACTGGAGTGCATCAGGCAAAAGAAAACAGCTTTATGCTTCTTTTGCAGCAACTTGCTGATACCCTGTTAAGTCAAACAAAATTATAATTAGCAGCCCTTCTATGCAAATCCTTACCCAAAATTAAAGTTTACACAAATTTAACATAAACCCAAGTTAGCTAGGGCAGTAAACCACCCTTTGCAATCCCCAAGCCGTCGTTTAGATTAGATTAGAATATCGCTTTCAAAACATAAACCCAGCTCTTACTTGCCATGAAACAATACAAGTTCCAATTTTTCCTAACAAATCTATACTTCATACATATATATTTCCACTAAACTTAATTCCATTTATTCCCAAGTACATGAAAAAGCATTCTGGTGATTATATTGCCCTAAATCAAGTGAGAAAAATTGCAATTCATAGGTATTTTAGCTGAATTTCTCGATTAAACTAACTGTTATTACCAGTAAATGATTGTTTTTCCTAAAGATTTTAGTTCACCGAGCTCCGGATTAAAGGGTACTTGGCAATTTCATTTTTCTATTCAATCATTTCCATTTTCCCGCACTTTCTGGGCAACCAAACAGGCATACAGAAGAGAAAAAAAACATGGTAAAGAAAAGCAAAAGGACAGACAATTAATTAACACGAAGGAGACATACGAAATGTACGGATTCCAGGTAGGGGGAGCTTTGAATTGCAGAGATTTGGCGGTTGTCGGCGAATCCCCAAAAATGGATAAAATTGCGAATAAAATTTAGGAAAAAAAAAGAAAAAGAAACTCTCGTGTGACTGAAGTTGCGTCAAAAATCAAAAGGTCTGCAAATCACACGTCAGCGTTTCGTTAGGGTTTCCTGACCTCTTGTATTTATTTTGATTTGATTGATTAGTGTTGTTTGTTTGTACAATTCCTGGTGCGGGCCCACCTTAACCAACGGATCATATTGATCATCAATGTGACCTGGTAATTAGCAGGCTTTGATTGAAAATGGTTCTTATCAATGAGGCCCGTACTCCCCTTGTATAGTTGGACACTGAATATTGAGTTAAACCTCGTTGCAGTGAGAGGTTTTTGTGTGAGGCCATCGCTGTTGGTGAGTCATTTGTGTTGTGCGCAAGGTCTAAAATTATTCGACAGCCTGCTGCTATTATCACCAACTAGGTGATCAAAAGTACGTCCAGTACTCTAAAATTATACATGAGCATCACTCATGTCAATCATGCATAAACACTCATGAGCATCACTCATGTCAATCATACATAAACATTCATGAACATCATTCATGTCAACATTCATGAGCATCACTTATGTCAACATCCATGAGCATCACTCATGTCAATCAACATAAACATTCATGAACATCACTCATGACAATCAGCTTTGAAAGTTTCATTTACAGAGCTCCAACTTCAAGAGCTCCAGCTTCAAAAACTTCATTTACAAAGCTCCAGCTTCAAAAACTTCATTTACAAAAGCTCCAGCTTCAAAGCTTCACCTACAAAGCTTCAGTGCATGGTTTACAAAGATCGCCTCCGAACAACTGCCACTTCGGTCCATACATGGATTGAATTTGAAGTCTCCAGCCAATAGCCTCTATTGACTGAAGACTTGGGGGACTGCACTCTGTACCATATATTGGGCTTCCACAACTAGGTCTCATGAAAAATACTTTGGGACTCTAGTCCATTATTTATGTACTGAGGAGCGAACCCTTATTCTATAAAAAGGACTCCCTTACTTTCATTAGAGAGCACACATTATTCATGTACTGAGGAGCGAACCCTTATTCTATAAAAGGGACTCCCTCACTTTCATTAGAGAGCACTCATTATTCATGTACTGAGGAGAGAGCCCTTATTTTATAAAAGGAACTCCCTCACCTTCATTAGAGAGCATCTCCACCTGTTGAGCAACCGCCTCGCCCCGAGCATCAACTCTTAGCCCATCACTTATGTATTAAAGAGCAAGCCCTTATTCTATAAAAGGGACTCCCTCACCATCATTAGAGAGCATCGCCGCCTATTGAGCAACCGCCTCGCCGCGAGCATCAACTATAGCCCATCATTTATGTATTGATGAGCGAGCCCTTATTCTATAAAAGGGACTCCCACACCTTCAACGCCACAAGCGGAGCCAACCAAGGCAACATAAGCCACAAGCAGGGCAACCTCGCAACATGAGCTACTTTTAGTTGAGCATCATTTCAGATTGGGCACCGCCTCATATCGAGTATTAGTTCTAGGCGACATCTAGTTACTTCGGCCCACACGTGGACTAAATTTCAAGTCTCCAGCCAAAAGACTCTCTTGACTGAAGACTTGGGGAACTACTGTTTGTACCATACTTAGGGTATCCATATTTAGATCTCGTATAAATACTCGGGAGACTCAAATGTAATTATGTAATAAATGGAGGGGCAAATATGTAATAAGTGAGGAGCCCTTATTCTATAAAATGGCTTCTTCACCCTCACAAACCGAAAGCTCTCATCCTCACAAACAGAGAGCTCTCTCAAACTCTCTCTTTCTTTGGGGGACTCCCCCTCACCCTTGTAATCCATACGTACAGTTAGAGAGAAATACAATCAACATCAGTGTGGACGTAGCCCAAACATTTGGGTGAACCACAATACATCTTGTGTTCTTTACTTTCTTGCAGATTCACGGTTGGATTTACGTTGTTCCAAGACCCCTCCGGTTTTGTGCATCAAAATAAATCATAATTCCCATTTACGAAATTTCATAATCACCCTGGAATTTTCACCACAAACACAATACAATTTATGTATGTATTTCACATATAAAACATGAATGCCACTTCATTCACAAAATATGAATTAATACAACCACAATGCATTCCACAATCCATATAACAAGAACTCAAGAATATTGCATATTGTAGAACATGATCATTTGCTCTGATACCATTAAAGTTGTCACGCCCGATCCCGACATATGTCCAAGATCGATACGTGACGTTACAAAATACCCATATCACTCACACACCCCGCTTCTAGGATATGGACAATGCACAACTCAAGATTCAAATTTCATGATAATTTTTCTTATACTTTATGGTTGCATCTAACCTCCTCGTTAGACTGTTTACGTACCCTCAATAGGGATCAAGCCATTCGTAGTTCAACTTCGCTATAACTCGACATATAACACAGTATGTTCAAGCCAAAATGCATAACATTCCTCAATCAAACATTTGGACTTGACAAGCATGAATTATTCGATTCAAACTACATAACAACCCGCATGACAATCAAGGTTTCTATTTCATCCATCATATAAATCATTATGTTTCAACATAAAATTGCTATTCATATCATGTAATATATCAAAGAATCAACACAGCACAATAGTATCCTCTAGTCGCATTAATCATTGATCTAATCATATTAATAACAATCATATTCAACATCCTTCCACAATCATCTCAAGTAACCCATTCCATGATATCAAGGAGGCACGATATTAACATTTAATTATGTTAATCAATCAATCAATCAAATCACACCTCAATGCACAAAATTAATAAAGGACTTCTACATAGTTCTCTGCCTGGATTTCAAGTAATAACTTGATAATTCTAATTTATATTCACAAGATATATTATGGGTACATCCCATTCAATCGAATCCAGGGAACAAGTCTAACTTAAGGAAAAGAGCAAAAGTAGGGATAACGGACCACTCAACGTAATCCAAATCAGGATACGATTCCGAACCATCACTCAATGGAATTGCGGAGTAGAAAGGATTTTGGACCATCTCTCAACGGAATCTGAGTGGATACGATTCTGGACCATCACTCAGCGGAATCGCGGAGTACAATGCATAACAACCACTAAATGAAACCCAAGTTGGATACGATTCCGGACCATCACTCGACGGAATCGCAAAATAGAAGGGATTCCGGACCATCACTCAACGGAATCCAAACAAGCATATGATTCTCCCATCAAATGTACCAAGTACAACTAATCCTCCTCACTTTTAGAATGCATATGGTCCCCCAACGCGGATTAACCAAGTAGGTAGTGACTCCCCAAAGTGTATTAACCAAGCAGAGTCATACCTACAAAACTGTTAGGCAATGATCACCTTATGCGGATTAACCAAGCATGATCACCCCTAAGTATAAATGGCCATAAGGATCACCCAACGCGGATTAACCAAGCACGATCCATAAATAGTATGGTCCGCCAACGCGGATAAACCAAGCAAGACCAGCCATGCACCACGTCTACATAGTGCAGTCTCATCATCACACCTTATACATAATTATACGCATACATACTATCGATTCCGCATATCAACCAGCATTCAGTCATATGGAGCACAACACAAGGAATTCCCTCAATTACTAATTCTACTAAAAATCTAATAAAGTACCTAACTCATCTCCTGACTTTCATCTCCATCTCATGCTAGGTAATAGTGCAAAGTTCAAATAAGTATTCAGTTGGCAATCATATCCAAATAATTATCAAACAATATTTAGATCCCATAATTGTCATAACATTCTTCATAATTATCATTCACATTATTAAAAGTTAATTAAACACATATCTATCACAAACATCATCAATACACAAGCCAAATCATATTTAATTAGCATAGGTCTATGGCCAAATATATAAAATTCACATTTCAATAGAAATCATATTTATAAGACCAATTCATATTCACAAATGATACTAATAGTAGAAATTAAGATAATAATCATATTTCATATATTCAAGTCGCTATCTAACCAATGTAGGCCCACTAGACTTCACTTAGTCCCTCATGATACTAATTTTAGTAATTAGGACGTTTCGAGACATGTTGATCAAAAGTCAACTTTTGGTCAAAGGTAGGGTCCACAATTCTACACAATTCAATCCGGAAGATCCACACCTTGGATTTCGGATATGTAACTTTCCAAAGTCCACATTATGCTCAAATAACAACATGCTAAAATCTTAACACGATCCGACGATTGGATCTCCGCCAATTAAATTCAAGTGGCGATCGACATTTAATTTTACAAACTTAGAAATCCAATTAGGGAAGATCTGTATGTCGGATTCTCGATCCGTAAGTTTCTATGATCCAAAAATATTATGTTCTATCACACATTAAGATTTGGTGACAATCCAACGGTCGGATCGTCGAATCATATTTTTGACCTAACCACGTATCGTAATGAAATTAGGTTCAAACAATCAAATCATATAATAAGGATATCAATTATGAAATCAGGGCATCTAATTGAACTTAAAAGGACATCATCGGCCCACTGGCCAGGCCGCCGCAGCACACGCCGTCGCGGGTGGCGGTCGGCCACCCCGACTTGTCGGAAAATTCAACTATTTTTAAAAATTACTAAAAATTATAGAAATGAAGATCTCAAAGAGTAAAAAACTTTATACCTATGGCCAAGTTCAATTTGGCCGGGAAACACTTCAATTTCACTCAAACCCGCCGAAACCCTAGAAAAGGGTGTGCTTTGATTCGGCTTCCAATCGAACTCCGACGCCTCCAACACTACTTGAGCTTTGTTCCTGGGGTTGAGAGAAGTCTTTTGGTGGTGGTCATGGATGGTGAAACTTGTCGGAGCCACCGGGAAAAGGGATAAAGCTGCCGGAACACCCGTGGGTTTGTGGCTTCGAACTGGAAAAATGGGAAGGAAATTGTGAAATCTAACACTACCAGGATGTAGGGCTCATCAAAGGCTTTCCATGGACACCAAGATCACCCAAAACGGAGTTCGTATGAATAAGATATGGCCGGGTCAAAAATGGTGGTTCGTAGGTCAAAAAATGACCCATTTCAGGTCCCTACT